ATTTTTTTTATTTAACCTTTCATTTATTTTATTTTTTATTTTTATTTTTTGGTAATGGGTATCGAACTCAGGACCTTCCTCTTGCGAGGCAGGCGGTGGCACCACTGAGCTAAATCCCCAGCTCCTTTCATTTATTTTTGAACATTGAATGTGTTTCTAATTGTTTGCAGTTAATTACATGTTGACCTGGCATTCTCATACATAAAATCTGATCTGCATTTATGACTGTTTCTTTGGAATAAATTGCCAATATTTAATTACTGAGTTCTTTTAAGATTCTTGGGACAGACGCCCAAATTCTTCTCCCAAAGATGTATATATTTTTGTGTTTCTATGAAAAATATATGAAAATACCACACACTAGAAAGGATTATTTTCTAGTATAATATATAACTGTGTTTCACCGGATTAATTTACATTCCATTGATTTCTAAAGAAATCAAAGTCATTGTTTTTATTTTATTTTATTTTATTTTTATTTTATTTTTGGTACCGGGGATCGAACTTGGGTCCTTGCGCTTGTGCAGCAGGCCGCGAAACCACTGAGCTAAATCCCTGGCCCCAAGTCATTGTTTTTATATAATTATAAGCTACTTGTAATTTTTATTTTTGAACTACACTTGTAGCAATCTATCTAGGAAAAACTGATTTTTACGTAAGTTTTAGAAATATGTAGAAATGTTAATTTATTTTGATCTTTTAACTCCTTAAAATTTGAAGATATTTTTAAGTATACCATATAGTTCTTAATTATGACAGAACGTACTTTGATTACCTAATACTTACTTTCTCATTTCAGAAGGAAAGGTGCACGGGAGATGATCTCTCCTGGGCCTGGAGTGTAGTTCATACATACACAACGATCATTGCAGAGGTCTGTTTGTATGCGGCCACATCAGATTTGCGGAAAACTGCCTTTCTTGGTCTCTGTGGATGTAAACGTCCACAAAAAAATATTTTACTCATTGACAAATCGGAAGAGCCAGAATTACAGGAAACAAGTATTTTAAGTCTTTTGGAATTCTTCTCTTCAAAAATATCAGATAATTGTAAGTAGATTGTTTTTCATTTTGATGAGTAACTTTTTTTTTGGTTTTTTTGGTACTGGGGATCGAACTCTGGACCTTGCTCTTGCGAGGCAGGCAGCGGAACCACTAAGCTAAATCCCCAGCCCTGATGAGTAACATTCTTAAATGTCACTGTTTACATATAGTTTTGCAGACAGTTATGGTTTAGAAGTGATAAATAACTTTAAATTCAATCGGACTATCTAGGAAGAATATTTTAGAGATGAAAATTTTCTATACAAACTCACACTCAGTTTATTCATATAACTTGCAAAGAAAAGGTGGCCTTGAGAAAATTTGTGGTGTTTATAAAGTTTATTTCCTCTTTATTTTTATTGTTTTCCCCATAAGAGCATCATTTCCTTCCTTCTCTATTTTCTTTCGGTATTTACTCTTTCTTGTTCTTTTCCTATCCAGAGAATTTCTTCTCATTCATCCACTGAACTACCGTAGTATATTCTTCCCAACTGTCTTACATTCTACCAAATAGTGCCTATTTTTCTTCTCAAAACTAAAGGTAATTTTATCACTGTATTTATGGAGGGATAACAGAATAAAATATTATTATTTTTAAAAGGGTAAGACATAATATTTTGAGTTCTTTTAGATGGATTAAACTTTATACATTTATTATGAAAATATTACAGTGGATATATTGTTTTAATCTGTTATTTATGACTCTGGCTTTCATTAAGTTGTGAGATAACTGAGACTAGAGAATCATTTCTGAATTACATTTGTGTTAACCAAGAATCTAACATAGTAGCATGTAATGAGTGGGCAAATAATGATTGTGAATTTATCATGTAATTGAATAAATCACTGTATTTCAGTTACAATTATAAGATTTTGAAATTATAGAATGAGGCAAAATTATCTTTCCTCAGAAACATAATTTACTGATTTGGGGCAAATTGTGCTTGCATGTAATTTTAAATAATAAGACTTCACTAGCAGATATTAATTTCACTCCTAAAAACTTTCTCACTATTTTTAAATTACATACGGTACTCTTTTGCTTTAATGCACATATCGGAACTTATCATATCTGAATGCCATTTGCTTGCTTGCACATTTCTTACTTTTCATCATTATAATATTTTAATTTTTATTGGTGCAAATTTTAAACACAAATTTCTTATTAGTACACAAATTATATTTTTCTAGTGTTTTCAATTTTGATTAAGTGAAGAAATAACCATTCATTTATTTTGCTATTGACATTTTAATTATTCATGATGGTCAGGAATCTTCCTATACTGAACTTCAACTCAAGATTTAGACTGCTCCTAAAAAACCTAATCTGTAGGCTTTCAGCTCTTTTCTAGCTGTGTGAATGCTTTCTGATTCTTTCACTTCCTTGATGTTGGCTCCAGAAGAAATTCCTCTATGAGGAGAACCTTTACTCCCAGAAGCCTCTTGGCTTCTCTTTAGCTATGGATACCTGCTCTCTGGCATAACTACATGGTAATTGGATTGCATCATTCTGAGTACACTCAAAATTTTGTTCCTCTGTGGGCTGGGGATTTAGCTTAGTGGTTCTACTGCCTGCCTCACAAGCGGAAAGACCTGAGTTTGATCCCTGGTACCAAAAAAAAAAAAAAAAAAATTTGTTCCTCCTTATAAGCTTGACTTTTTTCCCCTAGTTAGTTGATAATGTCATCAAATTTATTTATTCATTGTTGATAGTTTTTCTTTTTAAGTTTCCTATCTTCTCCTAAAGATTTTATTTTGATAGCCCAGAATTTGAGTGAATTCTTAAAAGACACTGTGCTTTTCTGGTTAGTATCTACCACTTAACACTGCTCAACTTTCTGGAAAGCACACCCCAACTCTTTGTAACTCGAATATTGTTCTTTTTCTTCATAATGATGTCAACAGCAAACTGACTAAAAATCTTCTTTTCATTTATGTGCATTTCCTTCTTTTTTCCACATTAACATATCTTATTGTATATTTTATATTTCATTATTGATGATTATTGTTTTTTAAACATATTATTGGTATATGTTTGCAATACATAATATTTACATTAATTTGGGGGACTATCACATTCCTCTCAACACCTGATTCCCTTTCCCATCTCCGAAAAGTCTATCTCTCTGTTTCCTACCATCTCTACTTTATTTCACTCTTTAATTTATTCATATTTTGAGTTTCTCATGTAAGAGAAATCATGCTATATTTAACTTTCTGGATTCGACTTATTTTATGTAACATTATTGTGTTAAGATCCATCAATTTTCCTGCAAATGACATGAATTCATTCTTCTTTATGCCTGAATACAATTCCATTTTGCATGTATAGTATGTACACTATCTATCTCTATCTATATCACATTTTCATTGTCTCTTTTTCCATTGGTGGGAACCTAGCCTGTTTCCAGGGCATAGCTATTGTGAATTGTGGTCCTGTAAACATGAGTATGCATGTATCACTACAGTATGATGACTAGCTTTTGGAAATTTACCCTGGAGAGGAATAGCTGGGTCAAATTGGGTTTTTAATTTTAATTTTTTTGAAGAATCTCCACATCGATTTCCATAGTGATTGTACTAGTTTACATTCTCAGCGACAATGTAAAAGAGTTCCTTTCCCCTCACATCTTTAACATTTGTTGTTCTTAGAAGAGATGTGTTGCTCTTCTTTTGTATTCTTGTTGATAGCCATTCTGACTAGTGTAAGATGGAAACCAGAGTTGTTTTGATTTTCATTTTCCTAATGATTAAATGTGAACTCAGACTTGCCAAGCGTATAGTAACCTGTGGCCACTTTTTTCTCATCTCTGTTGATCTGAGTGAGCACACTTGTTTCTGTTTGATTTGAATTCAGTACCAAGGGAAAAATATAACATCTGAAATGAGCAAACACTGAGTTTCTCATTTGTCCCCAGGAAGAGAGCCACCTATGTACTTATACAATAAGCAACAGTCTTATAAATGGTTATTATTTTTCTGTAATTATTTCTTATTGAACAAAGCTTTTTAGGAGTTTCTGAATCTCATTGTACCAACCATTAGACAATGTTATGGATAAAGGAGCCATCTTTACATCTCATGTATTTTCAGCATTTTATTCTTTAAATGGATAGTGATAGAGAGGTAAAAGGCAATAATCACCAACAGATTGGATTCTAGAAGATTTCATTGCACATCGATAAGAGTAAAGTCTTTGTAAATAGGGAAGGGTGGAGGGGGTGAAGGGAGGGCTAGGAATGGGGAAAAAATAAGAACCAAGATGTATCATTAAAGGTACAAGTTCTCAATGAGAAATGTAAATGTGTTGTATACCTAAAATGTACCAATAAAAGAATTTAAGAAAAAAGAAAGTTTCCGAGAGACAATGGATGGCCTTGTTTTCACTGATACTCTTCTTATGATTGTTCTTGAACTCAGCAATTAAATGATTAACCAATGGTTTGTTAGTGTTTTCTCAACACAAGTGGACAGGTAATTGTTTCTAGCTCTGAATTTCCATTAAAGATTTGATCTGCAATAAGAAAGATAGATGCATCAAAAGTGCTCCATACACAGACCCAAGTCAACCCATTTCTATGATACAAAATTTGTTATATAAGTCATAAACAATACTAGTGACATTTGTCTCTTTGAAGTTTCTGAGCATTTGAAACCCTCAGTTCTCATAGAATCCTTGTGGTTTCTTTGGGAAATGATTGAAGTAATTTGGTAATCTGAAGGCAATTTGGTTAAACACTTCTCAAAGATGTGTCCTGCAATTTTCTTCCTCTTTGTCAAAACTAGCAGTGCTGGAAGTAAACTTTTGATATTCTCCTCATATTTCTACTGAATCTTTGGCTTCCTACATCTGTTACTACTATGAAAAGCAAAACTTGGCAGATATATTGTCAAATAGTTCACCAGTTGAATGGTAGGAATTAAAAACTGTGCTGGTGCTGTTTAGTGTAGCTTAATCCTTGCAGCATCATTGAATAATTTTTCCGTGTAGAGAAAATGATTTCTTGTTAATTGTCCTGTGTGTATGATCATTAGCAAGAGGGGCCAATTCCATAAGACCACAGAAAACAGAAGGTCCCAAATCTGTTACCCTCTATGCAGGCCTATTTAGCATGATTACTGGAAAACATGGGTCTGCTTGTTGAGAAGTGATTAAAAAAAAGAAGTCTAAAAGTTCTACTTTATTAACTGAAATGATTTTTCCTCATAATTTTACCCTTCAAAAGTAAGTCCTGTTTAGAGTGGAAAAAGAAAGAAACACCCACACAGAGGGCTCTGAAGTCACATGAACTGGTGTTTTAATTTTGTCACTTATATTTTAAAATCCTAAGTCAAAGCATTTAATCCTGTTAAAACTTACCTTTTTAAACTTGATTATTATTTTAAGAGTCCCATTTGTATTAAATGAACAACCCCCCCCCCACGAAAAGACAGAAACATTTGATATAATAATCTACTGGATAGTAAAAGCCCAATAAATGTTACTGAAGTTATAGTTTACCAACGATAGTAGTTGTTAAAGCTATTATTTTCATGATAAAGGATTTTTACAAAAGTTATTCCAATGTACATCATATTCCTGGGATCCTTATTTTATTTGTATACAGAAGTATAAACGATACTGAGAAACATTTTTAAATGGTATTAATAAACTTTTGGTGAAAGGGTCAATAGTACTCTTATTGACCATTTTAATATAAAGTTTAAGTACAAAAGACCAATTTGAATCATACATTTGTGAAGGCATTCTTATAAGAAACCGATGATTTTTATGTAAATAGTTTCCAGATGACCTTATCTGACATTGGAGAAGAATGTGAAGAATCTAGATGGCGATGTGGCTGCTTAGCTCCCCTTTTACACATAAGATATTTCCCATCAGAAAAACTAGAGTCAGATGTTTCTTAATACAAGAGTGAAGTCTCTGGCTGGTGACTGAAGTACTGAGTTCTGGTGTTTTTCATTTAATATAAATTTCCACATATGCTTACAACTACCACTTAGCA